ATGCGGTGACGAGGCGGCGGCGATGCAGGCGCGTCTGATGCGCTGATGCGTGCCCGTCGGTGATGCGTTCTCAAGGTGTTAGCGCTCGGCTAGGACTTGTAAACTGGCGCCTATGCGCCGACGACGTTTGGAGGGTCATATAAACGTGAAATAAATCGGAGAAAATGGGAATAAAATAGGAGGCTGGGGCTACGCCCACGACATTACCCCCCCCCTACAATCGAGACTCCTGGCGAGAAGATATGGCCTGTATTCTGCCCGTTTCCCACTCGAATTCTGCCGCTTTAGGATTAGTGGCGAGTGTAGAGATAGGATCGGTGTGTTCATAGATAGGCTTGAAGCAACTGTGGAGTTCGCTGAAGGAGGTGGTGGAGATCTGTCGTGGTGCCGATGGATTCTGTTTGTGGAAGTCGCGTATGCGTTCTTCAGCATGTACGTCTTTGGCGGGAATCCATTCGTCGGCACCTTGTCCGTATCCTTTCCATCTGATGAGATACTGGAGCTGTCTGCGATAGACGCGTGAGTCCAGAATCTTTTCGACTTCATATTCTTCTTCGTTGTCGACTATCACTGGCGGAGGAGGTGTAGGTTTGTTCATTCCGTTGTCGTGATAAGGGCTTAGCCTATCGACATGGAAGACGGGGTGAACCTTGAGCCAGTTGGGTAGTTCGAGGCGATAGTTAAGTTCTCCTATAACTTCGGTGATTGTAAATGGCCCTAGCTGTCGGGGTCCGAGTTTACGGGTTTGCTGGTGGATTGAGACATCTTTCGAAGATAACCAGACTTTGTCTCCGACTTTGAAAGAGTGAGGCGATCTTTTACGAGTTTCGTAGTCGGCCTTCATCTTTTCTTTAGTCTGGCGGAGAGCTGCTTCTGCTTCTTTACGGATTTTGGCCATATTGTCTAGTCTGTCGTTTAGTGCGGGGATATTGGAATGTTTCCCTGCTGGGACAGTGAAGTCAGGCCTGTATCCGTAGAGTACTTCGAAGGGGGAATGTTCGTTTCCAGCGTGTACTCGTGAGTTGAGTACAAACTCTGCCATTGGGAGCCATTCATCCCAGTCGTCTTGACGTTGTGAACAGAATAGTCGGAGGAATTTAGATACCTCGGCGTTCTTTCGTTCGACTTTGCCGTTTCCTTCTGGATGGTAGGCTGTAGTTAAACCCGACTCTATACCGAGTCGCTTATATAAACTTCGCATGAAGCGTGCTGCGTATTGTGGTCCGCGATCAGAGAAGATCTTGCGTGGGAGGCCGTGGTGTCTGAACACTTCGCGAAAGTGTATTTCGGATGCTCCTTCCGCTGTGAGAGTAGTGCGGCAGGGTGCAAGATGTACTTGATCGCTGTAGTGATCGACGTAGACGGTGACTGCGTCGTATTTCCCTGGGGATTTTGTCTGAGGAAGGGGGCCAACCATATCGACTCCAACGTGTTGCCAAGGCCCGTCAGGGACTTCTTGTGGTTTGAGAGTTGATTTAGGGTGTTTAGCTCCTTTGTACCTCTGACATTTATCACAGCCTGCCACATATCGTGTTATGGCGGAGTTCATTCCTGGCCACCAGTAATAGCGGGAGACTAACTCGATTGTCCCGTGTTTTCCTGGGTGTCCGGCTGTGGGGGTATCGTGACAGGACTCGATGATCTTATTACGGAGGGCGACGTCGTTCGGTATGTAGAGTTTGCCCTTGTAATAGACGAGTCCGTCGTTTTCTTCCCATTCGGTCAATCCGTTGACTAGTTTGCGAGGCCCTTTTAATCGGAGGCTAGAGAGTGCGGTGGAGACCTCGTCGTCTAGAGAGGTTACATCGCGAACTTCTTTCTCCAATGGTGAGCTTGTGACAAAGGCTGTAGCGGCTAGTCGTGCGAAATGTGCTGGACCTAGTCCTGGACTTTGTGTAGCACTAACAAATCTGTTGTCAGGCAGGACCACTTGCATTTGGTTATCCATGTCGTCAGATATGTATTGAGAACTGGGACGTGAAAGCGGGTCTGCGACGAGATGTGTTTTGCCTGGCTTATGAGTTAATACGAAGTCGTAGTCGGCTAGTTCAAGAGCCCATCGAGCTTGTCGTCGTGTAAGTCGTTGTGCTGTACGCCAATACTGGAGGTTAGCGTGATCAGTCCAGATTTCGAACGGTTTAGGCAGTCCTTCTAGGAAGTGACGCCAATCTCTTAGGGCTTCGATTATGGCCATGAGTTCGCAATCGTAGATTTCGTAATTGCGTTCTGCAGCGTTCATAGTCTGCGATTGGAAGGCGATTGGATGCCATAGAGTGTCGTTCGGATCCAGCTGACTGATTTCTCCTCCAGTAGCGTATCCAGAGGCATCGACTTGTACGCGCGTATCTCGATCAGCGTGCCAGAGAGCGAGTACTGGCTCAGTAGTAAACTTGGACTTCAATGTATCGAAAGCCTGTTGCTGTGCAGAGCCCCACGTGAAGGGAACATCTTTCTTTGTGAGGTCGTGTAGCGGGCGGGCTATCTTAGAGAAGTCCTGGATAAACCGGCGGTAGAAGTTGGCGAACCCGACGAAACCTCTAACATCTTTCAGGTTCGCGGGCGTGGGCCATTCTGTGACCGCTTTTACTTTTCCTGGGTCCATGCTGACTGATCCTTCGCTGATGAGGTACTCGATCTGGTCTTTCTCGAACTCGCATTTCTCAGGACGTAGATAAAGGTCGTATTCCTTGAGACGTTCTAGTACCTCGTGTACGATCTTTCGGTGTGAAGCGAGGTCTGAAGACCAGATGAGGATATCGTCCAAGTATACTGCAACTTTTCCTTCTGCGATGAGGTCTGCGAATATCGTGTCCATGAGGGCTTGGAATGTAGCCGGCGCGTTGGTCAATCCGAAGTACATGACTCGTGGTTCGAAGAGTCCTCTGTTGGTGACGAAGGCCGCTTTCCATTCGTCTCCAGCTTTAATCCTGACATTGGTGTATCCCCAACGGACGTCGAATTTAGAAAAGATCCTTGCGCCTTGTAGCTTGTTGATAATATCGTTAGCTAGGGGCAGTGGGTATCTGTTCTGGATAGTGGCGTCGTTGAGCTTGCGGTAGTCCTGGATAAGTCTGAGCTTGCCATCCTTTTTCTTGATAAAGAAAACAGGTGAAGCGATTGGCGACTTGCTGGGAACTATGTAGCCCTTCTTG